GTGGAGGCCTTGAGGAAGTGGTAATAGACTTTCTCAGTGCTTTGACTTCACCTAAAGCCCATATCAATCCCCCAATCTTGCTATTCTTTTTAACTTCAGATCTTCCTTTCATAATGAGAGGAAGGTGGACTAAGTTTGGCTTTGCTGCCCAAAATCCCTTTTGCTTTCTTTTCCTATACTCCATTCTCCTCCTCCAGGGCTGCTACATTCCAGCTTGTCCATGGAAGAAAGCAAAGATTTCTCACCTACTATGTAGATAAGCTTGTCTTCCCCTCTCTTGCCCCTGCCCACACCTACCTACCCTTCCTGGCACTTGGGGAATTTCTCTCTGCAACATATTTATCTGAGTTCAGGCTACTAAAGTGAAAAATAGGACAGAGAAAAAGAGGAGGTTTGACAGGAAGTCCAAATAAGCACTTCCTCCCATTCACCTTTGAAATTCAGAACTACCTCAGCTGAACAGCAAACCAAGAGAATCAAAATGAAGAGATTTAAAAAAAAAAAAAAAGAATAAAATTGTCAGCCACAAGGAAGTGGAAAATATTACTGGTCCTTGCCTTGCCTAGGACAGCTCACTCATGTTTTCCTCCTGTGTTATCCATGGATGGGGGAGGTGAGAACAGTGTCCAGGGTAGATAGGAGGGACCTCTCAGTGACCATGGAGTTGGAATGGATGTTTACTAGAGGCAGGCTGGGATGGGGCTGTGTAAATCTGTTTTCACCACCTCCTATTCTTCAGCTCCAAGGAGTGCTGGAAAGTCTGGGCTTCCCCAGGTGACAGTGGCCTGGGTTTCCTGCACTTTTTGGGAAGGTGATCTTTGTTCTGTGCCATAGTGTGGGGTGTCAGGTGCCTTCAGCTTCCTGGCTCTCTTCCATTGAATCCCCCTGTCGCTTTTTGTTATCCAGAATGATCCCACGTCCTAGTGCTATCTCTATTGCTTGCTTCTAAGAATGGTGGGAAGAACTTCCCTTAGCTTCTGCATTAAGAAGATAAGCATGTTCTCTTGTATGGCGTCCTTACTTTTCCCTCTTCTCTGGTCCTGATGCGACAGTTCCCCAGGATCCTTTCTCCACAGTCACACACACAAGAGCAGCAGCTTCATGGTCTCTTTTAATAAAGTATCATTTTATTCTCATCTCTAACACTAGTCAGTAAGAAGGTAGTTATAACCTTCCAAGGTAAGAACCATCTTTGACCCATGGTTCTGCTGTGGGTGGAGGAAGACAGGGGTGAGTGATGCTATACATCTAGGCTTGGTGGAGTGAGGGAGGAGAAGTGATGAACCTCCACTGTTTGTCCCTAGGTTCTAATCCGCAGACATACTGTAAGTATTACTTTCTTTCCACAGCTTCTCGATTCCTAGTCTTTGAGCCCCCACCACTGTCACTGTCTCAGTGCTGTCCATGTGATGGTTTGTTCTTACCTAACTAACCATGAGACATGTAGTTGGTCCTCTGTGTCTGCAGATTCTGTATCCACATGTTCAACCAACAGCAGATGGGAAATGGTTTTAAAAATTATAGCTACACTGAACATGGATAGAGTTTCTTTTCCTTGTCATCATTCCCCAAAACAACACAGTATCACAGTTGCACACAAGGTGTTGATACTGACATATATGTATATATATATATATATATATATATATATATATATATATATATATATGAACTGTACCGTTTTATGTAAGGAACATGGCTCTGACAGATTCTTATCTTGGCTAACGTTTCAACTTGCTCCGTTGTAAGCACTGGGTTTCTCTACCAGGTTGATGTTGAGAGCCACAGGGTAAGACCAGCTGCTCCATCACAAGAGTCTCCTTTGCTTCTAGTGCTGGTCCGTAAACTGGTCCCTATCTGCTACTCTGCTTCATGCTCATGGCCAACAGGGCAATGCCTTGACATTAACTGAGTTCTCGTCATCCTGACGCCACTGCTGTCTTGGAATACATGCAAAGGCTTGCCCATTTCACATGGTCTGGAACAAGTGAGCTGACACATGGTCACAAACATCCTCCTGGTTTCCTGAGAGCCTTTTTTCAGAGCTGCCCTCCCCTAGGAGTTTCTAGAACACTTTAGCCAGACTCAGAAGATGTGAAACATAAAATTATTGTGAAATTGCCCAGGAATAGGAAGAGAAAAGTCTAAGACCCAAGGCAAGCTTCCTCTTTGATCATCTGTTCTCTCTCTCTTTCTCTCTCTCTCCATCCTGCTTTATCTGAGGTATGAGTCTGTGGTTCAACAGGTAGGGGACACGGTGTGAAAGACATTTCAGATCAGCAACTCACTAACTTTTTGTGGGTTGCAGACCATAAGCTGTCTCCTATGAATTCAGGGGACACTGTATAGGCTCTGCAGACAGGCCTGCTTTGAATCCTGACTCCCACTCTGGGCATTGTTAAAGCATCCTGGACCTTGAGGAGGCTAATGTCCAGAGGCTCTAGACTCAGGTATACTATGGACGAGACTGGGATGCAAAGCCTACTGGAAGGGGAGTATGGGTGAGCAAGTGGCTTCCCCACTCTGGCTTCATTGTAGGAGTAATAACTGCCAACCATAGAGAGGGTTGGGGTAAAGTTCTCAGCACATCCCCTGGCACACTAGCAGGGCTTTCTGTGGCCTTGCACCACTACTACCTCTATTGTCATTGTCCTAGTCCCTGGTTGCTGTGACTATCTTGTAACCAATCCTGATGGATTGTTCATCTTGGCCACTTTTTACAGGATAATTTTTTTCCAAAGGGGTGTAGTGTTTAACAATATCTTTAGTCTATCTTCTGCTTTTTTTTTCTTTTTTTTACCCTGAATTAGGCGAGTAATATTAAAAAAAATACAAAGATGACGAACCCCCACTATTGCTTTTACTTTAAAGGATGATCTGGAATGTTCCTTTCCACAGAAGTTTGTTGAGGATTATTAATATTTATTATTGATTTATCTTTTAGTTAAACAGCAGTTATTCCTAAACCAGCTGTATACCCAAATCACCACACAGAGACTAGGACTTATTTAATTAACCTGGAGCACAATGCTGGGCAATACTTACTCCATCCTAAACTTCCAAGCCTGCATAGCTTCTTCCCATTCAGATTTCCCACATTATACTTGCTTTTTTAGTCATATCTTAGATCCGGTTCATCTCTCCTGGGTAGTACCAAGTCCTGTCCTCTCTGATCTCTCCCTCTGAACTTCTCCTTCTTTCTCCTCCAGGACCAAGATGTTCCACCCTATTCTCTCCATTGCTCAGCATTGGTTGGCTGTTATATTGACAATACAGAGAACAAATGGTGGCATGGTTTTTACAAATTTGAGACAGATTATGCTTAGAATAAGCATCACAATGTGATGTCTGGATTGCAACCAGATAGTAGGGGAGAGAAATCAGCATTTGAAAGAACAAGGGTAAATTGTATACATTCCACAAGAACATTATACCAACAGAAGTTCTCTATTTTGAGAGGCTCTGATTGATTGGTTCATTGACTGATTGACTGGGGTCCAAAATCTCCACCTCTTCACTCCATTCCCCAAAGCCCTGCACAAAGCCTAGTTCATTCCATGATGTCTTCTTTACTTGAAAGTGATTGCTGTCCATTTTCAAATGGCTGCCATAATGCTGATTTGAAAGCTGAATTAATGTCTCCCACTAGTAAGGGAACTTTGGAACAGTGAGGCAGTGATTCACTGAGCATCCGCAGTTGCTGAGTGCTTAATGTAACCTACCTGGGCTGATGTCTCTTGCACGTCACCATCATGGACCACTTTCCAGGGGCTGGTCCTGGTACTGCATCTGTATCTCATTTAAGCTCACAACCAGGTAATGACACAGCTACTAGAGGCAGCAGGACTTCCTGTAGTGTATATAAAATGGAAAGCATACATTACTAAAGCTACCATTGGCAAACCTTTGGGAAGAACACCTCAGGTACCAATGACGTATTGGGACAGAGAGCTATGCACGTGTGTGCATTCCCATGTTTGCTATCATGTATGTGCATGTACACCTGGAACCCTGGCTAACCTGTGTTTATGGGTTGCCTTATTCCACCAATTCATGGTTTTAACCTCAGGTCTTATTCATTGCCAAGAGTTGTTTCTGTCTATGAGAAGTGTACAGAGTCTGAGACTGGAGGAGGAAGCAACAGATCCCCATAGCCTATCTCTAGGCAATATATTCTTTTGCTAGATAGCAATAGCAAATGAATTACATGGAAGAAACAACGGTAGACAGAATATAAGGCAAGAAAGCGCAATGTACAGAAGCTGTTGTGCCACCAATAACAGCAAGTCTTTAAACTTTCTGTCCTTACATTTGTCTTGCAAATGCATGAAAGTTTTATGTGTCTAACTCCTTTGTTTTCTTGCCTTGCAGATATGGAAACTGGCTACCTAGACTGCCCCTCCATGTCCAAGACTACAGTGTAGAAACATCCACATCAGAAATGGAGCTGGTCCTTTGCATTGTAGCATCCTTTACCACTCAGTGCCTGGCTGCCTCACTCACCAAGGGCCCACTCATGGCAACACAAAGAAGCAGCTGGACGTGTCTCTGCTTTCAATAAATACAAACTGGTGGGTAAGGAGGTTGGAAAACATTGAGAGACCATCTTCCTTCTCCCATAGTTCACTAGTGGATGGAATTATAATTTTAGGAAACTGCCAAAAGAGATTCTTACCTGCAAAGCCTCAGCCAAGCAGGAATATGGTATCCAGCTTTGGGTATCTAGAATTCTAATGGAAAAAAAAATATTTGAGCTGACACTGGAGTTTAAGTCGCCTTTGTTGGTTGCCCCACTTGGCTGGGGTATCTGTGCCAGTGGGGAATTACCAGTCTGTCTGTCTGTCTGTCTCTTTCTCTCTCTCTCTCTCTCTCAGCGTTGTGAGCCCCTAGAGCTGCTCTTCCTTGTTTACTTATTTAGAAGTCAGCAGAGGAAGTGGTAAAGGAAACTAGCTGAGTCGTTTTCTGAGAAGAGACCATATTTGTTCACAGGGGAAGCCACTGCTTTTTGGGATCTGGCTACAACAGAAAAGACGACTGTTCAACAAGGGTGTTCCTGAGGGTAGCTGGCAATCTAAAGAGCCAAGGATACCTCGGGGCTCTGGATCTGGGCTTTTTCTCTGTTCATGGCTGCAGCACCTCTCTGTGGCTTCTGAGCTTCTCCCTGAACAGCAGCCATGGCCTTGAAGAATGTGCCCTTTCGCTCAGAGGTCTTAGCCTGGAACCCGGACAGCCTCGCAGATTATTTCAAGAAGGTGAGTCTTTCCCTCTTACGCTTCTGGTTGGGCTGGTATGCCTTTGGTGGGGTGAGCAGAGCCTGGACAGAATATGGAAGGTGTACAGGGTAGCAGGGGAATTTTCACCTACAGCTAGCTACCTTCCTGGCAGTATGTCCTGCACAAGCCCCTAATATGTACCGGCTGTGTATCCAGTGCTCTACAGATTGTCCTGTCAGAAACAATCCACTGTCATGGGAGTTCAGTGTTACATATTAATGATCTGCACTGACAGTGTTGCATCGCAACATCGATGTTTGCTCAGCTGGAAAGTCAACTCAGGGAGTTTAAGCGGTCCAAAGCTATCGAGTCTTAGGCAATCAGGTTGCATTGCAGTCTTTATTTAACTTTAAAGCGCATGCTTTGAAATGCAGGGGCTTGCTGTGGTGAAGGCTACTTACTAGAAAGGAAGATATGGAGTCCTGGGGCAGGAACAGGCAGAGCAGGAGGGGAGGACAGATGGCTGGATGAACAATGGTGTTTTGGCATCCATTGTTCATGATCCTGAAAGAGGACTAGAGTTTCTTTATTGGCCAGAGTCTCACTGGAGCTTTATGAGAATCCTGGAAAGCAGGCCAGAAAGCAGATGGAAGCCCCAGGATAGTTAGGGACACAGAGAACAAGCTCAGCAAACTTAGAAAGTCAGGCTGGACCACAGTGCTACTGTCCTTCCTTCCAGGGTAGGAGGAGATAGTCAAGGGTCCTTATTATCTGCCAGCAGGGACCATATGTCTGCCTAGGCATATCTCAAGCCATGTAACTTTTCTAAGGTATTTATACCAAAAAGCTAAGAGGTCTTAAGAAAGACACGCACTTCTGTTGTCTACATCCCTGCACAATGGCCTCAAATTCTACTGACATACCAGGCCGTGATGAAGAGGAGGTCCTAAATCTAAGACCATAAAAATCATCTGCTTTGCCGTCTACTTTTCCTGAAGAAACGGACACTCCAGAGGATAGAATAGGCTCCTTGGAGCATATAGTCCAACCTATAATTTATACAGTGGTTCCTTCCCAACCTGCAGAAGAAAGTATGAGAATTTTGTACTGGATGTGGCATGCAAGACCACTGCCCACAGATCTTCCTATTTGCCACCTTTTCTGAATTTCATTTTGGTTACTTTTCCCCTCTGTAGGTCATTATAAACTCCCCTTTCAACACTGTGGGTAGAAATATGATTAGGCAATTGAGTTTTGAAGCATGTTTTTGAAATACTTTTCTTAACTAGAAACTAAGTAAGTTAGGGCAGAAAGGTTAAAATTTGCCACGGTGGAGTGAATTACTGAATTAGTACAATACAGCAGTGAGAATGGAATTGAGAATTAAGGTAGGAAAGTCTGAGGAGGGACCAAGAGGCACAGAAAGGCCCTATATTTGAGTGTAACTAAGAGATTATGTCATCCTAGGGTGCCACAGATAATGTGTGGGTCAAGTTCCCTTCTGCACAGGGTGGGCCTTGAATAGGCCAAGTAGACATCACTCTGAGTTAAGGGAAGAAGGAGTTTTCTCTTTGGGGATCATGGACCGTAGTACAAAGCCACATCCCAGGGAAAAGCCTTATCTTCTGGAGGGAAAGATCCAAGTGTAGGAAGAAGGAAGCTGAGGGGGACTGGTGATCCTACAAAGACCACCTTTTGTGTCACAGATACAAATGAGACCCTTCAGACACTGAGCTCATTGGTCCCCAGAAAAAACACTTCATTAAATGACCACAGAGTCACTTAAGGATGCCCTTGGAGGTCAGTGTACCATTTAAGGGTTGACCAGCAAGTGTAATGTCTACAGAAGCAGTAAGGTTGGGCCACTGAGACTTCTACCCAGCTCTGAAGTCAGACACACCTTGGTTTCCGCTACCAGTTAGCTTTGGCATTTAATTTAGTTACCTGGACTCTCTGTGCCTGGAATTCCTAATCAGTGGAACAGAGGTATGAACAGTAACTAACCAGATGAGCTAGAGGTGGGGCTGAAAGGAAATGTGTGTGAGGCCTTGAGTCCATGTTCAATTGAGCCTTTGTCCTGCTCTTCTAACCAGAACCTGATGGGGAGGCTCAGGCAGCTTGGGGAGGCTTTGTGTCACATTTCTTTAGATATGTATGCCTTACCCTGCATTTGGAATAGAAACCATGAGGATTAAAACCACAGTCTGCATGTACTTAACTCCTTCAACTGGTTTAGGCCTGGCAGGAGAGCATTCCTGGGCCGTGCAGGATAATCACTGGTTCATAGCCATGTGTTCTAACGTTGTTGAGTTTCTACCTCCTTGGGTGACCCTTGTCCAGACCCTTCTCTCTGTGCCTCAGTTACCATCATCTACAAATGCTGAGTAACAACCCGGACAGTGTCTACCAATCCTGGGTGCTAATGAAAATCACTTAGTGTGCTTGTCAAAAATGCAGATTTTAGGGCTCAAGACTCAGCTTTTACTGGACTGCATGAACGGTCTAGGTTCAAAGCTGGAACTCTTGCTTTGGTTTAGAGCCAAAGCCAGTACCTTGCAGAACTGGAACTTCATCTGATAGTGATTGATGGTGGTGGAATGAATTAAAGGACAATCCCAAGGGCCAGCTCCACACCCTGCATGTGGGCCAAGGAGACAGCAGGGCACTGCAGATGCTGCCTGCCCTAACAGTGACCTATAAATCAGCTTCCCCAGCGTGATGATCACTGCCATTCTAAACCAGGAGGTGACAACAATCATATATGAAAATTATTATTATTGAGACAGGTTCTTGGAGTATAGGCCAGACCTGGTCTTGGACTGACACCAATCCACGCCCAACCACATTTACTTTTTACTTTTTTGTCATAAGATAAGAATTGATTTTAAAATTTCCTCCAAAGAAGGTTGAATTGTTGGTAAAAAGAATCTAAGGTACGCAGAGAAAAACATTTTACCTTAAATACCTCAATCTTGGAGGTATTTTAGATGTCGATTTTTGTGCTGTTGAGGACAGGGTGAGGTCGGTGTGCACCGGAGTCACAGGTTAGCTTGGAAAAGTAACTTAAAAACACTTATTCCTGTGAATTTCATCACTCTGTTCTGAGAACTTGACTTCAGCAATTTACCTTACACAGAAAAAAAATGTAAGCAAAAGAACATCTACCATGCAGCATATGCTGTGTGGACGGTGCATTTGGCTCACTCCTGATTCCTCGCTGTCCACACTTCTATAGGAGATGTTTTTAAAGACTTCTCTTCATGGAAACATTACAGCCACGTTCTGCTCGGCTGTCACCTATGCCACCTTCCACAGCCATGAAATGGGAGGATTAAGTGACACACAGCCGGGAGCTGAAAGGGGCTGTGGAAGCCGGGCCTGCCACAGGCAGTGTACCCAGGGCTAACCAAACGCTGCTGATCTCATTGCCGGACTGAAAACAACCTGAACGTTAACTGTTGTGAGAGTGATTCAGCACACGAGGTCCTCGACAAAAAATTTAGAACAAGTTTGTCACAGTACCAGAAAGTGTTTGCATTGTTGCTTTGGGGTCATTTAAGGGGAAAAAGTCACAAGACTGAACATGAGTTGATTCCTCCATCATGCTCAGAAATAGGCTAGGCAAAAATGACGGAAGTGGTCACTAAGATCATTTTGGGGGTCACAAGACAGGGGGCTGGTGTTTGGTTTCTTCTGTCATTTTCTTTTCTTTTCTTTTTTTTTTTTTTCTGCTCTCCTGACTGCCATGTGGCCAGTCTTCTTGGGTTTTGAAGATAGTTTTTGTTTCCATAGGTTCTGACCCCCAGGCCTAGATCACATAATTTCTCCACTTCAGATAGTCCCAAGGGGGTAGTGAAAGCATGGCTGAGGGGACCTGACCCCTCTGTTAGACAAAGGATCAGGAAGGGGCTGGCTAGCCACAAGTACCGCAGATTGCTAAGCTCAGGGGAGGCAGGAGGAGAACACGGGAGCCTGTAGCACTGATGGCGCCTTGCCCTTCTTTGTGCAGCTCAACTACAGGGACTGTGAGAAGACGGTGAAGAAGTACCACATCGATGGTGCTCGGTTTTTGGTAAGTTTCTCTTCAGTCTCACACGCTGAAACCAAGAACGTGTTCTGCCCAACAGCTACAGGGCTAACCGATCTACTTGAGGCTGCCTGTGGTCAGTGTCTGTGGTCAGTGCCCCACAAAGCCCTTTGTTGTTATCAAACAAAGTCTCCCTCTCACCCACTCTCAGTATCCTGTTCAGGAGCCTTGACAGCAAGGTACACGCCACAGACATATACTGAAAGAATCTCAGCATAGTTTAACTACCTCCCCACCACACACGCACTCACATTCACACACACGCATACACACACACAGGAATGTACACACATTCACATACTTATATACACACATGCACACACACAAACGCATGCACGCATACACATATCTGCACACATTCACGTTCTTGGACGCACACGTGCATATACAGTTACATCTTGAAATTCTGCCCAGCTACCATGCATACTCTGAGAAGCCCTGGGTGGTTAGCAGGAGACAACACTGAATAACTGGGGATTTCCCCTCCTTGTTGCTAACTCTGCATACACATCCACTAAAGGGCGACCAACCCCCTTCATCTCCATTTCCTCCTAATTACAGACTGTGCATACTGACTGTCAAACCAGCACGTGCCCTCCCTACTCTAATTCACAAGCTTTAACTCTAAGTCTTATGGCTCAGGTCTATGTTCAGTCCTTGCCACTAAAGAGAAAGTGACCCATTTCTGATGGAGACAGAGTTGCTTGGCTGTCAGGGAGGTGGTTGTCACATTGAATGTCCATATGTCATAGCAAAGTAGCTTGGCCATGAGGCTTCAAGCTTGTTGAAAGGGACCAAAAGGTCACATGCTGCAGCTTGCTACACAACACGCCAATTCATTTCTTACATCTGCTTCAAACGCTTTAGCGATGGCCGGCTCACTACCACCTGCAACCTTCCTCCCCTTTCTGGGAACCTCTGAAGTCTGAGATGAGTTCCTTTTCCAACCTAGATCATGTGATATGATGGGGACAGAGAAATCGTTAATGTAAGACTTCTGTCTTCATAAAACCAGTTTTTGACAGAAAGATGCCTTCATGAAAACTTTCAGCCACCTCATTTACAAAGGTGGAAACATATGCAGAGGCATGGTGACCTTTTGTCCTAAGCCACCAATCTAATGATTAAATCAAAGCACGCCTTATCTTAGTCCTATACTGTGTAGGTTATTAGCAACGCTATTGATTCATGCTAAGCTTTGAGTGAATAGAATTCCTTGAGTTTTATTGTTGTTATTTTTGTAATGACACTCAACCTGTATGTTTCATTGTGATGCTTTAGCACTGAGAAAAGAGACACTACTTTGAGTACAGAGTGAGGGCAACATCTTTGAAGAGGGTCCTGGTTGCCCTGTTGTCCTGGCTAATCTCGAGTAAGCATTTGCCTCCTGTCTCTAATTCCCTTTTGCTTCCTTTTCTGCTGACTGAACACATTGTTCAGGGTCACAGTGGGGGACGATAATGGCACTTCTCATTTTTGTGACTGTCCCCCAACGCTCCATGTGTCAGGCTTGAGCTGACTTGATAGGATGGTTATTTCCTTGGTTGAGAGATGGTATCTGATCATCTGTCTCCTCTGTTCCAATCTCTGGGACCTATCAGGCCTTCTGAGAAATCAACACATCCTACTCACCCTGTGAACAGGAGGGAGTGAAAAGGGGGCAGGATGAGCCAGAGAACAAGAAGTAGAACCCAGTGACTACCCCAGGGAGCTGGGGTATTCTGAAATGCGCAGTCCAGAGTGGGTACTCTGGGTGCACTTCGTAGGTCTTGGCTCAAGCTCTAGTTACTCATCTCATACCTCTACCAGCTCTAGAATATCCAGGGCTGTTCTGCTATTGAAGACAATAGTGCTTGCTATTCCTATCTCCTCCTCCTGCTCCCCTCCTTTTCCTTACTCCTTCATTTTCTCCCTTTTTCCTTTCTTCAGTGTGGGAGCTGGTCAATCCCCCAAATCTGTCTTAGTGCCACTTTTGTTTAACACTGAGAGGGAAAGGACTCTCTTCTGGTGAGAAATGGAGACGCTGCACTTTGAAAAGGTGTAAGAAAAGGAGAAATGCACTTGATGTGTTAATTGGGAAGGTATGTGGCCTTTCTCAAATAATAGTAAATGTACAAGTGGACACTCAGGGCTGAGAGACTTCTGGAGGAAGCCCTTTTAAACTTACGGTCCATTCAGCCTGTGGAGAGACTGGGGGTTTTGTGCTAATCACTCCAAGCTGGCCTCTCCGTCTTTAGGTACCACAGCTATATGACAGAACAAAAACAGAGGGGAAAGGCAGAGAGTAAATGGTACAAGAAAATGGTGAAAAGTAACCACTGTTCTGCAAATCTCATCCAGTAAACTTCAGATTACATCTTACTGGCTACAAGTGAGTCATGTGACTCCACCATCTCCATGTTTCTCTGGGAGTTAACATTTTTGCACAAACACATTTTCCATGCTAAACAAAATTCAGGTTCTGATAGTAAGGAAGACGGAAAGAATGGACATTGCCAGACAAGTGGCCCTGTCTGCCACCTTGCCCCTCCACTGGGAACCTGGTTTGTAGCTATCCTTTCTCTGGATCTCTTTTCTGAACTCAGCATGACATCACGCTTCCAAAATCTATAACTCTAGCTCTAATAAAGGTTAACCCAGGATTGCTGGGTTTGAAAGAAGGGGAGGGAAAAGTTATATCACACAACAAAACTCCCAAAGCTGGTTTCAACATTTCTCACCTTCCTTCCCAGTGGCTGTACATATTTTAGAAGCCTTCTTTCCCTTCCAAAATCCTCCAGTCATGGTCTTGTGCACTTTCTTCTCCATCTCCTCCTCAAAGTCCCCAGCTTGTGCTCCCCTCGCATTGACTTCCAGTGCACCCCTCTGGAAAACCTCAAGCTTCCTCCAGCTCATCATACCACACTCTGGAATCAGCCTTGCTCTTCCACCTTCCAGGTATACAGCTGTTCCCTTCATCCTTTCTCTGTAACTCAGCCGGCCTGACAAGGGCCTGGTCAGAAAAAGCACCACAAATTAATAAGGGAGGGCTGGGCCTGATGCTCCAATAAGTGGCTTGCCAAGACACCGCTGTCCTAGCTCTTCTTCATGACACTAGACCCTGACTGTTCTCTTCTCATGCACAGCTGAGTGTGGACCTGAGCCATGAGGTGACAATTTAGGGAAGAGGTTGCCAAATTTTGCCCATGAGAACAAATTCTGTTTGGTTTCACAGATTTTCCCCATGTTTGTTTATTAAAACCCTTTCTGTTTATAAGTCAGGAAATTTCAGATAAAATTCCAATTTCAGAATTCCCTTTGGAAAAGCAAACCTAGGGTGTTGCAGTGACCGTGGTTCTATGTTGTTCCTCCCTTCCTGACCTGCTTGGGACCTTCCTGTGGGTTTTAACCCGCCTGCCCCGTGTGTCTTCTTTTCAGAACCTGACGGAAAATGACATCCAGAAGTTTCCTAAGCTTCGGGTGCCGTGAGTATACACCCTGGTGGGCAGCAGTATGGGAGCAGGTCGAAGTGAGGACCTGTCCAGGGGAAAGGTGTATATTGATGTGATTTATTTTTTTTAATGGTAAAACAGGTAGGGAGGTTGAGGACCATGGCAGGGTCTGGGGAAGAGGAACCACATGATGAGTTAGAAGAAGGAAGTAACAGATGCGGTCCTGCTAGTGATTGGATGCTTTCTTTGCTCAACACAAAGTTCAACAGTGGATTGTGTGTTTCACTTCCTGTCTTTTTGATGGGGTTGTTTGGGCCTATGAACACAGTACCAAAGTCAAGAGACATTACAGTTTCAGTATGGCATCTTTTAAAAGACTTATTTTAAAATTATGTGTTTGTGTGTTTACATGTGTACATGAGAGTAAAGGCTCATGTATAGGCCAGAAGAATGGGTCAGATGCCCTGGAGTTAGAGGCAGTTGTGCTGCAGCTGATGTGGGCACTGGGAACAGAACTTGGGCCCTATGTAAGAGCAGTGCATGTTCTTAACTGCTGAGCCACCTCTCTAGCTCCTCCTGGAATCTTCATTGACTCGTTGGTTTAAGATTTCGGGACCCCTTGTTTCTGGTTAGTAAATGAATGTGGACCACAAATAAATAATGGCAATGGAGATCATTTTATCTGTCAAGACTGACTTCTTAGAATAGCTGCTAGTGGTATAGTGTTAAGAAGAATGTTGAGGAAAATGAGCCATAATTGACTAGTAACCCTGGGTACTGAAATGGAACATAGCGGCATGAATATTGTGACATGTATTTTTCATCATCCTGGCAGAGGCCTCGCATGCTCAAATACAGAGGCCAGGCAGGTGATGTAAGTATGCAAAGTAGGGTAGGCTACACACACAAATTGCTTTTGAATTCCTTCTTTTTGTTATTCTCGAGTGCAGGCGCTTCTAGAGAAATATTTTTACACTGAAATAAAGATAGGAAATCATGCTTTGAAGGACAACTAATAGGAAGGCTGATTGATGGTGAAACAGTAGGGAGTAGAGCTGGTTATGCAAATCCCATGTCGTATGTTCCATTCTGAGAGCACAGCAGCCACTCAGCTCTGGCCAGTGTGGACCCATTGATGGCCAGTCCTCAAACTGATCCAAAAACGAAGCTAGAAACATGAGTTCAAATGTCCTATGCCTTGATTTTTAAATATTGACTCAAATGTTTTTAAACATTGTGCAAATCAAAATGAACTTGCTCTTGGTACCACCGTTTTTGAAACATCTACTTTGGCCATTCTCTAGAGTCCCTTCTCTTTTTCTAAGGTCCTCAGAGTGCATAATGATAAAAGGCATTCCAAGAAACTAAGGAGCTGGAAGATTCTTTGAGTAGGTAGGAGCTCTGGAGAAGTTCAAATAAGGAAAATACACTTATCCTGGCTGTTGGGTCTCCTTTGTCCAGAAAAGTGAAGGAAATGAAAGGTTCATTTCCTAAGGGTTCACCCTTGAAGCTGCCAATCTTTGTTAGATCTCCCTAGGAATTTTTTATAAGCACATATGGCTGATTCATTTTAAGTTAAATCAAAGATCAAGTTCTGTCAGCCCACCAGACATATTTCAGTAGCTTTCGGTGTGTAGTGGCTACTGCAGTGGTCCCTCTTCATTTGTGGTTCCCATAGTTATCCTCACCCATGGTCAGCTGCATCTGAAAACAGTAGAATAAAATATGGAGAAAAAAAAAGAGGAGAGAGAGAACAAGAAAGATTATTCGCATAGCTTTTATTTTACAGTGTTGTAACAGTTGGTGTATTTTGATATCAGTTATTGTTGTTAATCTCCTGCCATGTCCACTTTATAAACTGGCCCTTATCATAGGTATGCCTGTAGAGGCAGAATCATCATATATATTTTAAAATATATAAAATATATAACTTCAGGCTTAGTATCACTTATATCTTCAGGTATAGCTAAGGAGGACTTCCTGTGGACAAAGAGTGGTGACTTTATATGGGGAGTACAGGCATAGGACACTTCCAAAGTGGCACTCTAAACACAAACCAGAGTTCTGTTAAAAGTCAGGCACACAGAAATCAGAATTGTTGGCCACAGACTCAGCCATCAGGCACTTTAGGCTTTGCTCATCCTGTGTTTTGAAACCAGCAAAGGTTTCATAGAATTTGTTTCTCCAAAAACAAATGGAAAGTGCAATTTGAGGTCCATATTCTACTGTGACAGCAGTCAGGTAAATCTGATGTCCATACTCCTGCTTAAGTGGGATTCATTCGTATCCACCTATTGTAGTTTACACACACACACACACACACACACACACACACAAAGAGTAGCAACTCCTATACTTACTCTCTGCCTTCTGTCTTTAGCCCAGGGCAAAGAGAGCAGGGAAAGCCTGAGTCTGATGGATTCTCAAGTTGAGGAGGCAGAGCTGAGACTCCAGGAGATTGGAGTCCATTAATCATATGCCTACATAGAAAAAGTTCTGGAGAAATTCCCAGGATCTCTCTCTGGTAGGGGGCTCGTCAGCCTATGCATAAGAGGAAACTTGTGTGTGACCTAAAAAAAAAATCCAATCGGAGAGGTAACAGGAATTAGAGGGTTGAAAATGGTGCCCGGTTCTGCCAGGCAGGTGCCAGGATGCCCAGATTCAGTCACTGAGGATAGTGCACAGGAAAGACTTGCTTCCAAAATGCAGAATGAGCAGTCGTGATCTGAAACCTAGTCTGGCTCAGCCCAGTGAAAATCTTAAAGACAAGGCAGAGGTGGTGCAAACTGCTTCCAAGCAACTTTACTACATCCTCAAACAAAAACCCGAATATTCAAAAGCATCCATGATCAAACAGAAACACAGCATGCAGCATCCCATCAGTAACAAGCAGGGAAAGAAAGAGGGAGATATGACTCTCGGTGGGAGAAATAAACATAACCGACCCAGGTGGCTGGAACTGTCAGAAAGGAGCACTGAAGCTGGGCTTCACATGTTCGAAGTTAAGCTGAGGCACAGGAAACAAGACCTTCACAGAACTTCTAGAGATGAAAGTATCTGAGAGGAGAGGTAAACGGCTGTCATTTCACCAGAAATGAGGTTTTACAGAATCACATGTCAGTGTCCTAGTTACTTCTATGTTGCTGTCATCAACATTATAACCAACAGCAACGTGGGGAGGAAATGATTTATTTGACTGGCAGATCATCCAGGAAGCCAAGGAAGGTACTCAAATCAGAAACCAGGAGGCAGGAGCTGAAGCAGAGACCTCTGAGGAACAAAGCATTGCTTACCAGCTTGTTCCCAGGCTCACATTCTGCTATCTTTTTTATAGAACCCAGACCCATCAGCCCAGAGGTACCATGGACCACAGTGGGCTGGAGCCTTCTCCACCCATTAGCAACCAAGAAAATGTCCCAAACTCTTGCCTACAGGCAATTACCTGGACATGGTTTCTCAGGAGAGGATCCCTCTTCCCTGGTATCTCTAGTTTGTGTCAAGTTGACAACAACTAACCAAATGAATCACTGAACATGAACATAGAACAGGAGAAACTGCCCAAAATCAAATGGAGGAGAAAGTATCACTGAGCTGAAGATCATCAGGAACCTTGGAGATGGTTCAGGGGTGCAGCGCTTGCCTAGCATTCATGAGGCTTTGCTCTCAGGTGCTGGAAGTGGGCAGAGCATCCGTGAACTATAGGGCCATTTCAACTAGCTGAGTGTGCAGGACTAAGGTTCTGAAAAGATGTACCTGCTGAGTGGAGGAGATACAGAAATAATATACACAAGGAAATAGCAGCCAAGAAGCTCCTAAGTTGGATAAAAAGCCTTAAGTCCGCAGATTCAAGAGGCATCACAAACTCTAAGTCCAAGACACAGACAGAGTACTCCTCTGTGACACATTATCATCAAATTTCCCCAAAACAACTGACTAGAGATAAACAGTAAAGAGAAAAATCACTCAAGTAGCCAGAGAAGAGAAAACACATCACACTCTGAGGAATGACTATGAAGACTGGGGGTTCTGTCAGAAACAATGTCACCGTCACCGAGAAGACGCCTTCATCGTTGAAAGGAGAAACAGTCTCAAGATGAGCAACATGTTCTTTCAGCAATGAAGGCAAAAACCTTAACCAGCTTGCCTTAATTTAGTCTTCATCATACTTACTGCTACTGTACAAATAACCAAAACAATATGGCTTAATAATTAATAGTCTGAGAGATTCATGAGAAACTTAGAGGCCTCCACACACAATTCTGCCATTGTAAGAAGGGTTGCTATGAGAACAGAGACTGCTGTTGTATCGCACACCCGGTGTGCTCACTGCGCTTGCTCATCATCTAGAGTTGTGCCTGGTGCAGGGGGCCTTCAGGAGATGTGTGTTGTCCAACAGCTGACAAGTGCAGGTAAAATAGGACGTTCCCAGACATATAAAATCTGAAAGAACTCATCACAAACAATGACCCACACTGCCACAACTGTTAGAGAGAACCTCCCAGGAGGAAGGAAAGGGCGCCTGCTGCTCATGGAAGGATGCAAAATGTCAGAAATGTGCCTATAAATATATATTTGACCCTTTGAGGACATCTGAGTCCTGTCTCTCAGTTCCTATGCAAATTACTTCTTCGTGAATACTTCATCCATTTGGCGAAATGCTGCTAGATGCCTCCAGTGCCTCCAGACTTGTCAGTGTGGGACTACAAAGATAAAGAACAGATCTTCACACATAGTATGCTTGCATTCTAATGGAAGGGCAGGTCCATTTGCAGTCAGACATGTTGGCATATGTAATCCACAGCACTTGGGAGGCAGAAGCAGAATGGTTAGGAGTTCAAGGCCAGCCTCAGCAACATAAAATGAGTTAGAAGTTAGCCTTGGCTATATGAAACGCTGTTGCCAAAAACAAAAAAACAAAACAAAACAAAACAACAAAAAAAAAAAAAAAGGAAGGGAGGAAGATAAGGACAAGTAATAGAAAGAGAGGAACAGTGGCACATTCTAGGAGAAGGAAGCATATTGTAAAAGCAGAT